GTAATGCTGGGGCCCGGCGCTGCTACGCCCGGCCTCCTCCTGCGCTGCGGAGGGGCCCGGCCGCCTCCTCGCTTGCAGGGCCGGTGCGGGATTTTTGCCTACACAGGCGGAGATGCATGTTTGCGCAACCCCCCGGCCCGGTGCCCTGAGACAGCTGGCAATGCAGCCTTAAGGTGCCCATACACCTGCCGATTATCGTACGGTAATCGTGGGTGATCCCGCGATCGTACAATAATCGGCAGGTGTATGGAAGGCGTGCAACCGTTTCTACTGTACGTACGATTTTTGGCGGGTTAGTGGCGTTCTCGGGAGACAAGTCCCGCACGGGCCGGTGTGCGCAAGTGCACACTGCCTGCTCAGCATTGCAGCCATCGGATGCCCTCCCCTCAGCAGGCCGGGCTTGCGATGATCGCAAGTACGATCTGCCTGTCCAAGATGGGCAGGTTGTACGAGATTTTAATTACCTTACAACCATCGCAGGATGAAAGTCGTGCGATGGTTGTAAAGTGTATGGGCACCTTTACACTAGCGCCGGCCCTGACCACATTGCTCAGTCTACCCCAAAACCTGGAGGAACACTAGGAGCAGATTGCACTTTAAAGGCTAAGTTCACTTTTCTGGCCATGTTTCATGTTATACCCATATTTAAGGTGTGACATGAAACATGATCAGAATGCCACCCCCCACTTACCTGAATCTCGGGGTTCTTCTCCCAGCAGGCTGCTGTTTTTTTAATGTTGGGCGGAATCATGCACAGCCACAACATCAATCTACAGGAAGGAGGAACTACAAGCCCCGTCTGCTATTGTGGCAGAGAGGCTTGTAGTTTCAGAGGAATACGAGTGTGATGACATCACCACACTTGTAGTCCTTTTAACTCTGCCTCCCGTCCATAATACTAAATGTCTGTACCTTGGTACAGGCATGGACAGTAGCCGGGATGCACCAATACCATTTTTTCCAGGCCAAGTACGAGTACTAATACTTTTCTTCAAGTACTCACCAATACCAATTACGGATACCTTTTTTTTAGTGTCATGTGACAGGTTTTCTAAGAGAATACAGACCAATGATTTTAGGACAGTGGTGGAGCGCCAGGGCTCATTCCCATCTGCAACCGTTGCTACCCTGGTAGTTCTACCACTGACTCCAAATCTCAGCAATACATTATACAGCAATGCAGAACAATGTCATCAGCTATAGAGGACTACAAATTCTGACAATATATTGTACAACAATGCTGAATGGCAACCGGGTATAGAGGACTACAAATCCCAGCAATATATTATAAAGCAATGCCGAATGGCAACCAGCTATAGAGGACTACAGATTCCAGCAATACATTTTACAGCAGTGCTGAATAATACTATTATTCTGCATATCTGTATAATGTATTGATGGAATCTGTAGTCCTCTATAGCTGGTTGCCATTCGGCATTGCTTTAAAATATATTGCTGGGATTTGTAGTCCTCTATAGCTGAAGCTATTATTATTATACCATCAGCTTTAGAGGACTACAAATCACAGCAATAAATCATACAGCAATGCAGAATAATAGGAAACTACATACTCTGTGCTGCTTCGGGGTGACAGTCTGATGTCTACAGTAGAGGGTCTGTGCAGTAGGCTGTGCAGGGTCTCAGGAGGACTGTGTAGGGTTCTCAGGAGGGCTGTGCGGGTTCCCAGGAGGGCTGTGCAGGATCTCAGAAGGGACGTGCAGGCTCTCAGGAGAACTGTGGGGTGTCAAGAGAGCTTTGTGGAGCCTCAGGAGGGTTGTGCAGGATGTCAGGGGGTCTATGGGTGGTCTCATGAGAGCTGTGTGGGGTGTCAGGAGGGCTGTGCGGTGTGTCAGGAGTACTGTGCGGAGGGCTGTGCGGGGTGTCAGGAGGGCTATGTGGGGTGTCAGGAGGACTGTGTGGAGGGCTGTACAGGGTGACAGGAGGGCAGTGCATTGGTGTTGTGCAATTAGAAAAAAGTGCATGCAATTGCACCTCAGTGGAACTCAGTTACATTGTGGTAGCATGCATTACACTGTGGGCAATTACACTGCGTGGGGAGGGTCCAATTAAGTGGTGAAGTGCATTCACGTCATGGGACTGTGAGATGAAGGTAGGTGGATGGTGTGAACGCTGAAAATGTATTTTCTTTGAACGTGGTTTAGTGGGTATGGAATGCGCTGTGGCATCATGATGGGCAAATGGTCATATTGTGCTGGTTTTTTGAAGGGGGTGGATGTTGCAGAGAGAGTAATAAAGTAAAGTTACAAGTCAGTGGCGTCGCATGGGGTGCGGCCGACTGACAGTCATTTTGGTTTTACCCCCCTCTGAAAAGTCGGGCGCTCGGTCAAGGACCGAACGCCCGACAGTATCAGGAGAGAGACGAGGGGACCCAGTGGCATACCTTATCCCGCCGGGTGACTGTCCCCTCCTCTCTCTGCCGGCGTCCATCACCAACAGGTATCATAGGATCGCCACGTGTGCGCGGTGACATTTCGGCGAGTGGGCGGGGTGACACCCAGCCTCGGGACCCCCCTGTTACAAGTTAAGCATTTTTTATTCCTAAATAAAATGTTTTAGTATAGTTGTGTAAAATGAAATGTCTGTGGACAGGATTATGTGGCATAAATGCAGCATTTGTGAGGGCTTTAAGATATTGAAATGGTGATTGATGGTGTAGAAATCTTTTCTAGTAATGTTATGTGTGTTTCATGTATAGTACAGAGCAGAGCTGACAGATAACACAGCGCGACCTCAGCAACTCAAAAGTCAGCAGAAACGGAGGAGAGGGCGGGGGAGGGGCGGCCCTGACGTCACACTGGACGGAGCACTTTCACTCTGATCTATCTCAGGCCGTTTGTCTGCTGGATCTGTGTTCTGATTTTTCCGCCCTCCCCACCGGCTGCTTGTGTTGCTTGTACATTAGCGTCCGGCACTGCTCGCTTGTCACATGCGGCCAATACTCATGTAAGGGTTCTGGGGGCGGGCGCCTAAGGCTGCCGGGGCCCCTTAAATGTGTATCGACGGTACACCCCTAACGGCGACCCTGCCTAGGAGCATGGGAAAGGTTTTTTTTGCAAAAAAAAACCTGCAAAAGTTCTTTGACCAAAAACAGCATTTTTTTTTCATTTATTTAAATGAGCTAAGTTCCACTTTGAGACTCCATTCACACCTAAGGAACAGCTATTAAGCGCGTCCTACGCACGGTTTTTGTGAGCATTTTGCATGTTCTGTTGCGCGTTTGTTGTGCGCTTAAGACACGAATATGGTAAGTTGCACGTTTTTCATATTCATGTGCATGGGCAAAACACGCGTTAATAATCTCAACGCATGTTTCAAAGAGTTCTCTATTGAGTCAATGGGGAAAAACGCACTGAAATCTGCCCAAAAGTGGCTCGTATATTTCGTGCAACAGGCGTATTTTTGCTTGCGACAAAATGCCCAGGGGTGAACATGGGCCATAGAACTGAATGGGATTCCTGGGGTTGAGCATCTTGAGATGAGCGACAATACGCTTAGGTGTGAATGGAGCCTAAAGGAGCTGTGTAGCCCAAAAAATGTATTGTGTTCTGGACACTGCATTTGGTTAAAACTGTAATTATATTATTCCGTTTTCAATTCACGGGCTTACATTTATATTTTCTGCACATTTAAATGCAGACCAAGCTGTCCAGCAAAGTGACAGGAGTTGGGACACACCATGTAACACTAATGTGGGTGCCTACAATGGTCACCTTTTATTGATATGGTTTAAACCTTTTTCCATAACAAAAAAAGAGAAATTGCTCTGCTGCTGATAAAGTGTCAGCGGGAGATGACGTTTATGTGTTTGCCGTTTTTCTAAAGTCCATATAAAGCTTTGTGTCCACGTAAGACTACTCTCTCCACTCCCTGAGAGATTTCAGTACAGAATGAACTTAGAATGAGCGTTGTCACCCTGGTAAAGCAAGATGAAAAATAACGTGTCTACTGGCCTGGTCAACAGGTAATAAAATTATGTTACTGCTGTGTTAATGCTAGTGACAGACTGCATCATATACTGTATGCCAATTTTGATTGTGTCCATAGTTCCACTTTAATATAAATGCCACCCACAAACGTATAGTTTCTTCTTCAGTCCCAACAGAAGCATGTTTATCGAGTGCTGCAATGTCAAGAAGCAGAGCTGGCACAGATGGTCTCTACAATGTCTGACAGCTGGAAATTTGAGCAGGTAAAGACTATTACTGAATCTTTGGGTGGCTTGTGAGGAATTAAATAAAAAAAAAAAGAAATGGTATACATATAGAAAATAAAATATGCATCCCTTATGGCTATCCTCCCAACTATTTATTGCATGGTAGAAGTGGTAGATATATATCAAAAGTGGATCCATAGTACTGAAGGAGTAAGTGCAGGATTTATAAGCAGTGATGGACTTTCTATAAGGCACAGTAGGCTCATGCCTATAGGCACCACCTTGGGAGAAGCTACTGTCATTGCCGGGAATAGTTGTCATTTTGACAACTGGGTCTTGGTTTGTGCTGCTACTTATAAACAAGCCACTTTTTTTTATACTCATACCAGAGCAGTAACACTGGTTTCTCTTTAATGATCCTTTCACACTGGCTGATCAGGAGGGGATCTGTGTATGGATCTCTCCTGATTGGAGCAGTACGGATCAGATGTCCCTGCTGAGACATCTGTGTCTGTCCAGTTTTTTCCTCCGTCTTGCGATAGAGGAAAGAACTAAGGCTGACGGAACTTATGTCGGTCTAGGGGAGGCGGGCGGGATTTAAATGGACATGTGTCAGTTTACATCAGAGTACCCCTGATCCAGCACTATCAGGTCAGGTGAAATGGAACTGGGTGTAAATGGATGCCCATCCGTTTAGACCCGGCTACCCATAGACTAGCATTGGACATCGAATCAGGTCCACCTGAAAAACTGATGGCAAACCCGATTGTATGGCCTGTGTGAAAGGGAGCCAAAAGAAGTAAAAATATAAACACGTTTTATTCATAATAATGGTAGTTGTTTGAAAGCAGCTTATTATCCAGGAAACGTTCTAAGAGATTTTTGCCGATTCACCTACTTAATGTAGCGAAGGCATGCGTTCCTTTGTTTTGGAAAAATACATCCGCACCACCAATTATTCTTTGGCTTTCCAAGGTCAACAAATTTAAAATGATGGAGGATCTCTTAGCAGCGTCTAACCATACAGAAGACCAGTTTCGCCATACCTGATTTTACTGGAATTACTTTATCACCTCACCTGAATATCTTACACTCATAGGCGTCTCTACAGGGGGGCAAGGGGGGGTGGCCCCCCCCAATATTGTTCCTAGAGTCGCCACTGCTTACACTGATGGAGACTTTGTAGATACCTTCAGGTTTTTCCTGTGGGAGGTGGAAATCGGCGGCATTGGGAGCCAAACATGGCCTGAATTGTAGCCTCCATTACCATCAGGCTGCGTGTGTGGGTATTGAGAATTGGATTGGTAGCACTGCAGTGGAGTCCTGGTTGATAGGAGAAAGGGGAGTGATCCTGTTTCTATTCCCTGTTCCCTCTCTACTTACTCCTTTCTCCCCCAAAATGTAAAGAAACGCTCTGCTCTATATTCTTTTCTAAAGGCTTTTTTTTTTTTTTAACCAGCGCAACAACAGAATGAGCCCTTTTTGG